TGTTCACCTCCTTCTTGTCGTCAGGAGTTTTCAACGGAGCAAGGGATCCGATTTCTCCTTTTGATTGAATAGCTTCTGTGGTGGAAGTCTCAAAAGCGAGAGATCACCTTCTTGGTGCGAATCAAGACGTAAAACGATCTGGAAAGGGCAGTTGTGCACCCAATCCTGCAGTCCTACACCAGCACATCAGGAAACAAACCTTCAGGCGTGTTGTTTCCATTTTACTTTGACCATCATCTGACTCCAACCAGTCAACTGATCTTCTGATCAACTGAGTCGACTGAGTTTCATTCCTCTGAGTCAACTCCTGCATGGTCCAAATCGGTCAAAGAGAATTGCAAGCTCTGAACATTGACACCAACATCACTCAACTGCCCACCACTAGTACTACTCAACCATCAGGCACATGAGTGACAATGTCCACTGCTGGCAACTCAACAACAAACCGCAACCTGTCTCGAGTCCTACAACCTGGACATCTTGAAACTAGTCTTGTATATATATATATATATCTGAATCATTAATTGGTTTTTATGCTACTTCTAGAGTATCCAACTGCCGGTGTAATACGGCTGTAGAGGCCAGGAACTATGCTGCTTTTAGTCAGATAAGTTTGAACCACGTTGAGGCATTTTTCAAGAAAAAAGTTGCTCTAGTCAATCATGTCAGGGTACAGATTGGCGCTCCTGTTAGAATAAAGCAAAATGTGCTCTATCGTGAGTGCCTTTAGCGCTCAGAACAAACTCTCTGCAATCTAAATTCGTAATCGACTGTACAACACTTTCACGACAATAGTTCTCCTGTGTCTAGGTATACTTTGAGTGAAATTGTTCCTATTTGATTAATGTTTGGCTTGAATTGATGATTCAATCACAAAAGTGAGTTCAACAATTGTCCCTTGGAAAATCCCTTGTTTACAGAACTCGATTCGACTTCTACGACAATTCTGTGTTGAATGCAGTACTTTGGGACATCTTGCATTATTCCCTACTGCAACATCCACAACATCAATATTCCACTTGTACAGGATCTTTTCCTTTTTGTGTGGATACAGATTGTCCGACACACTTGCATCTGGCAGACTTGTGTCGAATCCCGACATCACGATCAAAGTCCGATCGCACGTGTCAAAAACTTTGTACTTGAATAGTTTCTTTTGGAACGTAAAAACTCATATTTTGTCATATCCCAACAGTTTCATTAACATAGTTGATGACAACGGAACATCAAAGGAAATTGCGTTGCTCCTAATCTTGTTCTCCTTGGATCAATGATCTGAATTCTAAAATTTTTTTATCTCTGTAGAGGTTTGCTCATGAAATCTCCCCAAATTTTCAGTTGGACAATACTCAATAGTCACATTCCCTTTCTTGACTTGGTCAGTCATAAAGAAATATCGAATGTTCAAAGCTCGGCTTTGCTTTCCGGCACTACTATCACGTCCGTTCTTTTCCAATAGAATAGAACACTTGTTATCCTGATATAGGATGTTCTCTTCAATAGGATAACCTTGTGCTTCCACAAATAATTTAGTCCACAATATCTGTGTCACAGCATCATCAACACCAATCAATTTGGCTTTCTTGTCATTTCCAACCTGTTGGAATAGTAGATTGTATTTTGGCTCTTTTTTCTGAATCCTTTTCCTTGAATTTTCCTTCATTGAAATTATTTTATTCAAATAACCTTTCAATTTCTTGACTTTTTCCTTTTTTCTCATTGCACTCCTGTTCTTTAACAAATTGCACTTCGGTTTCTTTTGATTCAGGTATTGTTGATTATGCCTTGGTCGATCGCAGTTATTACGTTCAGTTGGTCTCATTTTTATTCCATCTTGAACATAAGATTTACCACTCCTGGTTTTCCTTGGACTGAACATGTCCTGTTTATTCACCTCATCATTTTCATAATTATCATCATCGCTTGATTCATCCGAATTATCGTCAGATTCATCATTTTCATTTTCATTATCATCCAAATTTGCCACAAATTTGCAAACATCATTGACTTGATTTTCACATTCTTTGATTTCATCCTGAATGTGATCAATTAAATCGTCATTTTCCTTATATGTTTCGCGTGTTTCTTCAATTTGTTCTTCATCTTTACTAAGTGATTCGACATCTTCTTTGTCTTTGGATGTCTTCTTCAATTTCTTGAATCTTTTCATTTAAATCCTCATCATTCTGATATTTGTCATTTGGATTGGGATCTTGATCGGATACTTCATCATCATTTCTCCGTCTCAATCGTTAATAAATACTTGCGGCACTCCTGTCTTCTGCCTGTTCTTTGACATTTTTGGTGTGTGCATCATCATAATTTTCAATAAATTCTTCCGCTTCTTCAAGTAGAGTGTTAGGATATGACGAAATATGAGTTTTTACGTTCCAAGACTAACAAAGTACTTGTGGAAAATCCAGGTTTATATGGATTAAAAGTGGTCTTCAGGCGTGACAAATAGATAGGATATACCGGTAGCTGGGTCAGAACCAGCTTGTCACATTTTTGAGGACCAGACTGGCTGTTTTGAATGATCGGATGAATCACATGCACGATCCATCGCTCGAAGGAGTGTGTTGGGAATTCACGTGCGCGTGTAAGAACTAATGAAGTACTGTTGGGACTAACAAAGTACTTGTGGAAAATCCAGGTTTATATGGATTAAAAGTGGTCTTCAGGCGTGACAAATAGATAGGATATACCGGTAGCTGGGTCAGAACCAGCTTGTCACATTTTTGAGGACCAGACTGGCTGTTTTGAATGATCGGATGAATCACATGCACGATCCATCGCTCGAAGGAGTGTGTTGGGAATTCACGTGCGCGTGTAAGAACTAATGAAGTACTGTTGGGACTAACAAAGTACTTGTGGAAAATCCAGGTTTATATGGATTAAAAGTGGTCTTCAGGCGTGACAAATAGATAGGATATACCGGTAGCTGGGTCAGAACCAGCTTGTCACATTTTTGAGGACCAGACTGGCTGTTTTGAATGATCGGATGAATCACATGCACGATCCATCGCTCGAAGGAGTGTGTTGGGAATTCACGTGCGCGTGTAAGAACTAATGAAGTACTGTTGGGACTAACAAAGTACTTGTGGAAAATCCAGGTTTATATGGATTAAAAGTGGTCTTCAGGCGTGACAAATAGATAGGATATACCGGTAGCTGGGTCAGAACCAGCTTGTCACATTTTTGAGGACCAGACTGGCTGTTTTAGCCAACATTCTTGGATTTCTGGGAAGCCAATCAAAAGTTCTTTGCTATGAAGCAAGGAACAACCAAAAACTTGATGCATTTCAAGGAACGATTCTTGAGACAGGCTGAAGTCCTGCAAGATCTATATGGCGTTGCCTGGTTCCAAAATTTTGCAGTCAAGACAAAAGCGTATGCTGCTATTGCTAGCACCGATACTGCTGCTAAAGACAAGTTCAAGGATGATATCTTTGAAGCCGTTCTTGCAACAGGATTTCTGTGCAACTGTGATCAAACGAGAACAGCTCCTCTGATGCTGGATCTTCAGACAAACTACTGCAGGGAAGGGGGTTATTATCCAAAGACGGTCAGCAAAGCACAAGATATGTTGAAGATCCACTTGGATGTGATTAAGAATCCGGGAGTGAACCTATACCAAGGAAAAGACCAGCCAAATAAAGGTAAAGGTAAAGGTAAAGGTAAACCGAAGGACGATAAGAAAAGGGCGGCATGTTATGTATGTGGCAAAGAGGACCATATGTCTTCAAAATGCCCAGACAGACTGCTACTAGAGATTCAATGGAAACATCCGAAACACTATGATGATTATGGGAAGAAGCTCAATCTTAACCAGATTGGAGCAACTGTCCCAGCTACAGTTCCCGGAACTTCTCCAGCGACAAGTATTATCACTGGTGGAACATTGAGTGTTGTGGGGAGCGTTAACACACCTTTGCGACTTACTGGTGCTACAGGTAATCAGATGAAGCAAGTTCCTGCGGGAATGCTGCTCATGCAGATTCCAACTCAAGGTGGCGGCACTGTGACTGTCCCTTACTCAATGAATTCTAATGGTGAGATTGCGTTCAGTGGAATGCAACTCAGCCAACAAAGCTTCAGTGGTGCTCAAGTGCGTCAAGGATTCAATGCAACTCAAGCTCAAACTCCGCAGGTTGTGAAGACTGGCTATTTCGATACATCAAAAGTCTTCCACAATGCTATCAAGGGAAAGGATGAGAATGGCAATGATGTCTATCTTATTCCATGTCCTACTGGAACGACTAACGTTGAACTTCAATCCGACTGGCACTATGCTAGTGAAAGTGAAGACTTGCCAGATCTTGCTACTGAAGCAGATCGAGATATGCAGTTTATTCAAAGCCGCAGAATGGAAAGAGATCCGTTTGGTTTGCTCGATCATGTCATCATGGACAGTGGTTGCACCAACACCACCATTTGTAATAGTGAGCTCATGCATGGACTACGTCAAGCTGAGAAAGAGCTCGATATGCACACTAACGTGGGCAGCAGCAACACAGGGAGGTCCTGCTCAATATAGTCCTTCCAGCGTCCGTAGCACTAAACCTTTACCGTAGGAATCCCGAATTATGACCGTTAAACTATTGACATGCGTGCGCGCCAACTGAAAGCGACGGAATCTAATTATTCAGCAGTACTGCTGAAAAATTCAGCAGTTGATTAGGGAATTCAACAGTACTGCTGAATTTAAAATTCAGCAGTACTGCTGAATTATTCAGCAGTTCGCTGAATTTTAAAATTCCCTTTGTCATTCCGATTATATTAATCGCCAATCAATCATCAGATATAAACCAATAATAATAACTGAAACATTAATCGATTAAATGCTATCTAGCGCATACGATTGCCGGTGGAATAAGCGGCTGTAAAGGTCAAGTACCGTAAAGCGACGAGTCAACAACTAGTTTGAACCATTGGAGACATCTGGTGGACAGAAGTTGCTCTAGTCAGGATCGAGGGGATCCCAACT